ATGAATTCTTGGATAATATTGGAGTTTACTTTCGGTTCAGTGAATTCGAGAATGAACACTCAAGAAGTAATAAGCAAAGTTAATCGCCATATCTTTAGAAAAATTTTCCTATCTCCCTACATACTTGAAGATAAATTGTTATGTTTGCATTATACGTGTAATTAAGACGCTTCTTCTGTAAACGATATAGTTAGGCAAATCGAGTCCATGTGCGATTTATTCGTTTTTCGAGCTTTTGTAAATGAACTCTGTGCTACAGAATGCAAATATTTGTGCAACATCTAATTGATATTGTTCGCATTCGTAATAAGGATAGGCGATTTGCTTTCTAAATTCATGTACTTGGCAAAAAATTGGGACATATGCATATATGTAAGTGAAGCTTACGTAGAAATAAGCAATCATGCTATTTGATATGTCTTGCACGTTTAGAGACAAATATTGAATATTTTAACTCTTCATAATCTCCCGCATAGATTTCAAACAGTTGATATATTATCTTTGTAATTGAGCAAGTTCTGTTTAATAACTAACAATTAAACGAACTCATAAACCATGCCATGTAAATCAAGGGGCACACAAGGAGGGAGGGGGGGGGAACGTAACTATCATTTGAACAGGTAAGAGATATGGAGAAAAGTGTCTAATAAATATGTAATAATCAGATTAGTACTGGTGGAAACTAATTAGGAAGATCGAACAATAAATGCAAATTAAATCTTATTTCCTTTAGTAGCAACGTATCATAAAATAATTACGTTTAGCACAAATAAATGGATTCAATTTCTATATTGTCAGACATGACGTAAAAAATTTCCGTATGAAAAATACTGTCATAATCTGGAAAGCTTTGATTAATCTTTTAGTAAAATCAGATTATAATACAAACAATTTTGCGAAATAATTGCATAACGATAAGCTTTTAGTGATCGGGGGCAATAAGTAAACAATACCGACAATATTCTTATAATCCGAATTGATCTTCTTAGTGAAATCGATAATAATAATAAGTACAATTATATTATGCAATCTGACTTACTAATGAAACGTAGTAGACGTAAAGAATTTTGAAATAAAAAGCAAGGTAGTATTTTATCATATATTAAAGCTATAATTTTCGTCATGATCGATCCACTTACTATAAGAACATATGATCCCATTAACCAAGAAAATAAGCATACTGCATTGACCACTGAAAGGATAGTCTTAGAAAATGAGGCTCAGACAGAAATATGATTAAATATTATATAACCTTGCATTCGAGAAAAATTGAAAAGATTCGTTGTTCACTAATATCCAACAATGGAATCAACTCCCATGTACATGTTCCCATCAGAAAGAATAACCCGCTTTTTTGCTGACAGTTTATCGGCTTGGTATTAGTAATGAATATGTGTATACTTCGTTCACCGTAATCCGTTTCAAAACAATGAATGAAAAATGGCAGAATATGATCGGTAATCGCTAAAGAAATATCCGCGCATTTTCACTTCGATGATAAGTCAATTTTTTATCTACTTTTATTCCAGAGTCTACGCCGCCACAACAGAACTTTACTCTCATCGGGAATTTTTATTGACTGAGTGTAACAAAGTACGCAATCAGCAATATGTCAATATTAGTTAGCTGGCAGGATTTGTTTTTGTTGGTTGCGATAATTAGGTAACGTGATGAGAAGAAAAGTTATGGTTTCGATCATAATTCATGCTTTGACACTTTTGTTTAACATATGTTTGAATTACATACTTTTTTATTTTCACCAAATAGACTATGGGTCGGTTATTATTTAGTCTAGTCTTGCGAGAAAAAAACCGAGTTGATTTATTATTGGAGATAATTGCAAACAGCAAATGCTTATTTATTCGGGCAGACAATAAAAATAAAAATAAAAATTAGCGTTCCGCTCTACTCTTAAGCAAATCAGAATATTTGTTTTACTAAATTTATTGTAAAAAGGCTATTTTTCTATACGGGCAAAAAAACTCTTAAGTTACTCCAGTGATAGGATAGAACAATGCTAAATAAAATATGATAAAACGGTAAAGAGATTATTAACGTACGATTACGAAAAGTTTTACTTATATTATTGCAGAAATACACTCGGTGAGAGAGCACTACAACTATGTAAGCATAATTAAATTTTATTGCCTAACGCGAGCACGGCTATAAAATTTTGTACTGCATGAAGACTAATTACGCTGTATCTATGTAACTATACTAGACACAATTTATTGTTACAAAATTTGCATAAGCGCAGATACCAAGGGAATCCTAAATGCAAGAATATTGTCAATTGTGTGCAACGAGTAGATACAATAACAAATGAAAAAAGACATATAATTTACCATAGAACTGCATATATTATCGTCTGGAATGGACTTGCACTAAACAAGTAAATTAATATAGATTAAATTTATTATTACTAGTTTGAATATCATGTTCAGAGATAAAATGTCACATTACTTGGTAACTGATTGTTTGCATTGACCATTGTTGTCAATTGAATCCTATATTATTACACAAGTATTGGTCATTAGTACATTCTCGCTTTATAAATTTAACAAATACAGCATACCTGGGGACAGCATGAGCTATTAACGGCAGTGTAATTCTATGAGGGTAGAAAATCGTTGCGTTGTCATTGACGGTGTTTCTGTTAGTATTATGTTTGTAAAGTAACCAAGACTTTAACTATATTACCTGAGGACAACATTGATCTTTAATGCCGGTCCCATTATCTGGAAAGCCGGTCATATTCTAAACACATTACATAAAAAAAAATTCTTTAGTCGCTCGCTGTTGTTGTTTAAAGTTAATTACGTAGGATAAATCCTTACCTGAGGACAACATACGCCATTCGTAACATTCCGTTCCTTATTGTGATAAAAGTTTTTGTGAGTAATAATATTAGTAATATTAAAATCCGAACGTTCGATTGCGGAATGAGAATTACCAGGTTACAGCATACACCAGCAATGAGAATGGGCTTATCCTAATAAAGATACATTGTTAGTAATATTAGCTACATTGCATTGTGAAGTAAACCAAAATTACCAGTGAGCAGCATGTGCCGGCAACGTTAAGGGGTTTATCCTAACGCATCAAAATAAAGATATGAGTTATCAAAGAAAGCTGAATTGTAATTAGAATTCAA